AGCATATTGAAATGTGACTTAATTCCCTCCAATTGTGAGATCCCCCATGCTACCTCCAGCCTCTGACAGGATTACATTAAGTAATGATCAAAGAACAAGAAACCTGCCACTCAAGCAGTCTGCAGTGACAGACTTCTCTGAAGATAAATGCTTCTACAAGGCTCCAGGACAATTTTTACATGATGCAAATATTAAGATACTGCCCGTCAAATGCAATATTATAATAAATCTTTTAAACCTCATGATCCTCTTACAGGAGTTTAAAAAAAAAACCCCTGCATCTCTAAGAAAATGGATTACTAGTAAAGTTTGGTATCAATTTCTTTATTCTGTTCTACAATGAACTAACAAGTTAAAAAATTCAGTATGTTGTCACAACTCTACAGAAATAGGCATTACATCATATGTACACTATTTTTAGAGATACAAATAATCTCCATTTTAAAAAATATCACTGAGAGAACTGTCAAAAATATATGTGGGTAATAAATATGCAGAATAACAGAATGGTTTGGGTTGGAAGAGACCTTAAAGATCATCTCGCTCCAATCCCACTGCCCTGGGCAGGGACACCTTCCACTATCCCACGTTGCTCCTGGGAGCCCTGTCCAACCTGGCCTTGGACACTCCCAGGGATGGGGAGTCCACGACCTCAGATTACTGACCACAGCCATTAATTAGAAAAAAAGATTTGAGTTTACAGGTTTGAGAGTCACACAGAAATTCTTAAACCCCGTTCGGTTTTGAACACTGCATGAATTATAAATGCAAAACTTACTATCTCAGGTTTTATTTTGTACTTGTGAAGATAAATCCTTGAACCATTTACTTTTCTATTACTTGATCCAAGACAAAACAGCAACTTAATTTTTATAAAGCACCAGAGAACTACCATTAAACTATTTTCTTTAAAGCTCTGTTATAAAAAAGTCATCTGCTGTTAGTCTGGCTGCAGTTTTTTAAGCACCTGCTGCATGGGCACAGAATTTTGGGACATAGTTTAACAGAGATGATCACAATTATTTTCTTCTTTTGTAATTAAAAACCACGGTTGCATTATTGATTGGGTTGAGAACTAGACTAAGAATAGAAATGACTCAGTATTTATCTCTGCTGTGATGACCCCAGCTCCTGGATGCTTATCACCACAAAGAAATGCAATCAAGCTAACAGATCAGATCTGAAGCAAGAGCAGGCAGAATTAACACCAGTGGCACATTTCTTCCTAATCTGTTCATTTGGAGCAAGAGTTTTTGCCAAATATGTCCAGCCCCACCTTCCCTACCCCACTCAGGACACCACTGCAGGGCTGATGTGGGAGATGCACAGTTATAAGTGACAAAAATGAAGGCCAGAAATGCCCAGGGATGAAGAGATGGGATGGAATCACGGGGATGCTCAGACCTGCCCCAGGCACACAGAGCTCGGGGCTGTCACCCCCCCAGACAGAGCCCCCTCCTCAGCAGCACTGCTGCTTGGGATCCTGAAAAAGGATTTGCCAAACACACATTTATCCTCAGATCTGCCTGGCTTGTTGTGCTGCAGAAGGGAAAAAATCCCAGCACCAGCAGAACCTCAACACAGCCATGGAGCAGCCTGGAGGGGCAGGAGAGCCCAGGCACCAGGAGAGCAGGGCTGGCACTGCCCACACTGGCACTGCACAGACAGAGTCACATCACTGGGGAGACAGAAACAGAAATACAGACTTGCTCGGTTTGAGGGAGCAGAGAGAGCACTGTCAGCATGTGTTCACTGTGTTTTACTTGGAAGAAAAAAAAAAAAACAATCCAACAACAAAATCCCAACAAACTTCAAAAACTTACTCTGCAGACAACCAGTGCTCTTGTGAGACAACACAGCTATGAACCACAAAAATTTAGTAAAGGCATCTAAATGGCAACTCCTTCACCAAAGAAGTCAATCAGATTATCCCTTTTTACCTTTTTAACATTAGTCCAATCAGCTGAGGGGAGGGAAGAAATTTAAGATACGAAGATATACAGTTAAACTAAGCCCTAGAACTCTCTTAATTAAGAAGCATAAAAGGAAAGAGCTTCAAGGATGGTAACAATAATTTAAAATATTATTTAAAGTATCTGCACAGAAATTTTGGGTTCATGGCCAATCAGGTCTTTCTACAGAACAAGTTCCAGCACTAACAAGCAGGGAGTTCCATGTGAGGAGTAGGTGTAAGTTCATGTCACAACTCAACAGGGGATGTTTTATAAAACATAGATTAACCTTAATCATAAAAATAATCACAGTATATTTAATGTGCAGAGATTTACATTCTAAGGAGTTAATGCAGATTGCATGGATAATTCTCCTTAAAAGCAAACACAAGAAATCTTCTATTTAAGGAAATATTCTGAGCTGAGTCAAAGCAATACTGAATTTCACTACCTATAGGATCTGGGTTTTCTTCAGAAAGCAGAAAACTACTTGTGTGTGAGAGATTAGGCATTTAAGTAAAAACTTAAATGGTGCCATGCTGAGTACTCCAACATCAACCATGGGAGTCCAGCTGGAGTCCCTGCAGAGGTTGGAAAGCTCTGAGCCCTCCCTGAGCACACAGGGCTCACAAAAGGTCCATCAGGACACATTCAGCATCTGTCACAGAGCACTCAGCAACAGGCTGGACAGGGAAATACAACTCTGTGCTCATTCATTAGCATTATGCCAGAGAGGAAATCTGCTGCAGAGTTTGTAAACAGTTTTCCCACTCTGGCAGAAATGTTTTCGCAAGTTCCTGTCAAATGAAAGTTGCACTCAAAAACCCTCTTCCTTATCCTGCTTCCCTGCCTATGGGAGGGGGTTGGAACTACATGATCTTTAAGGTCCCTTCCAATTCAAACCATGCTAAGATTCTGCCATTCTCTCACGGGCTACATCAAGCATTACACTATAAAACCTGTTTGTCAAGGCCTCTGGGAACCAACAGCCATGTTTGAGCAGGCTTATCCAGGTAGGAGTTAAACCCAGGCACAGAACTAACCATACCTCAGAAAAAGTCATTATCTTACCAGTTATGGAAAACTATAGGCACCTAATTTTTATTTACTTGTCACACAGGCAGTTTGGTTATCACATTTTTATTCTGAATCATCTGTTGAGTTACAAATTACTTTTTGCTACCCTGAGTACTGTGAGTATGACACTTTCAAATTAGGAGCTTACAGTCTACAAAGCAAGGACTGGTATTTCAATTCAGGCTGCTAAAAACCCAACAGCTTGCAGATTTGCTAGCAGAGAGGTGGTTGTTTACTCCTTGCCACTTAGCACTCACTCATCCAGGAAAACACTTAGCAGCATTAACAGGACTCTTCTTATATATTCCTAATTAACTGACATTAAAACAGATCTAGGAATGTGCTGTTTGATTTCCATCAAATGATGAGATTATATATATACACACATTCATAGATCTGAAGAAGCCACCAGGTTTGCAATAAGCAAGTGTAGGTGCAGGCCCACGGATGCTCCACATCATTGATAACAAGGAAATAATTCAACATGAAGAAAAATAAATCCACAAGAAGAAAAATCCTAATGAGGACATCATTTGTTGACTCATCACAGTCCCTTGAATGTACCACACCAAGTCCTTGCAGCAATAACTGATAACCTCTGAAATCATTCACAAAGCTGTGTGACTTGGTCTTTCTCAGACCAAAGATGCCAAGTCCCTTGTCACGCACCCCTCCGGGCAAGCACCACAGGTGGCATCAGCTGTTCCTGGGACTCTCCTCCTCTTAGCACTGAAATCTGAGAGTTATTATCTGTGTGCTTATTGACTGTCACAAAACCAAAGAGACAGAGATAGATTCTGTCATACACAGACTGGAATTTAATTCCTAATAAAGCCTTATGTTGGCCTGCCCAGAGCGTCAGGGTCCAACATCTCATTTCTTCAATAACTAATTCAATGGTTTACTAATGATAAAATCCAACACATGTGACAGTTCTAGAAATGAGATGGCAGAGGGTGTTAAACTTCAAGCAGCATATTCTCTTCCTGTCACAGACATATTATTGCTGTGCAAGACCTAAAATCACCACCTGCAACCCAACCACTACCAACATACAGGAAAACCAGCAGTTTATATAAGTTATAAATTCATATCTGAAGCACATATCAGATATTTTGAAGTGTATCAACTGAGAGAGGCTTTGTATCTTTTGGGGAGATGAAAAGGAAGATGGGGAAAAAGGGGAGAAATTGAAATTGACCACTCAGTGTTGGTACTTCAACATTAGTACTGGTTTTCACCTTTGAGTTTCAAAGCAAATCAATGTATCCAGAACAATTATTTTCAATTAAATAATTTGTCTAGATCAGATGTATATCCTGCCACCAAGCAGGAAGTTTGCATGTGAAGAATAATGGTAAAGAGAAAAACCTTCACATAAGCATTGTGGTCATGAAACCACAGCAGTACAAGCCTTCAACACAGTGCAGTTTATAGTCTGAGCTGTTATTTAAGATCAGCAAATGAGCTGCTGTTACTCTTTTTGATGCTTGAACTACCACTATTCTACTTTCAAGCCAGTAAACACGACCAAGTACGACAGTGTTAATGCTGTATTGAACTGCATCTGTGATTAACTCAGTTCTAAATCACAGTTCAAATTTACTAAGGAAAGAAAAGAAACCTACATCCTACATCCAACAATTCCTACATCTTACAAAAGAACTCCATGTAAAACCAAAAAAACCAAGAATGACCATTTCTCTGCCCAGTGAGCATGTTAAGCTTTATTTATAGTGCTTGACCAAAGATCCCTAAACCAAAAAAACCCAGTGTATTTTCTAACTAGTGCCTGAACTTCACCTCCACCTACGGTGTTGAAATCCAAACTACTCCACTGCTCCCCAGCAAAGAGCGGTCTCAGAAAAGACAAGCATGGACTGCTCCACTTCACCAGTTGTGCCAGCAAAAGAAGATGCCAGCAGCCAGGCAGAGCACAGGATGCCAAGGAGCTGGGCAGAGCAGACTCACCGACACGTAGCTGCTGGTGTCCACGTTGTCTGTGATGGTCTGGCGCTCGCCCCGCTGGTTGATCTTCCTGTACCGCCGGCGGGACTGCCGGAGAGGGACCTCTCTTTGCAAGATGTTTTCCTCATTGTCTTTGGAGTTCTCCACCTGAAAGACACGTTCGGGCTCCTGGTTAAACATCCAGTTCTTCCATAGCACCGAGAGCCGGTGGAGCCGTAGGAAGCTCATGGGGAAGGAGCAAACATAAGTTCAGGGCAGTTAAACCCTTCTGGGGAAAACAGCCGCGGGCGTTTCGGAGAACCTCGGCTGCGGGTCTCACAACTGCTCATTACAATGAGCCGGAGGCCACAGTTTCCTTCCAGGAAACAGTGCTTTTAAAAAAAAAAAAAAAGTAAAAAAGGCCCACGTATCCTCTGAAAAATGTCACTCATCAGTAGAAACCCGTCTGCACCCACATGTATCACACAGCACAACTTACACACACTGCTCATTTCAAGCGTATCTTCAACACAGAACTCACCATTTCTTTGTGTATTTGCAACTGGCAAAGAGACTGAATTATATCCCATTTTTATTAGTGTAATTTTTAAAAGCATAACTTATTTCTAGTAACAGTCACAGCTAAACAACTTTAAATATTCCAGCTTTTTATAAATAACTGCTTCATCTATGTCATACTGCTTTCTAATCGCTTCCAGCAGATTATGAAGAAATAACTGGAACTCGGTCCATATCTTAATGTTAAATATTATTTGTGACTAAACATTAAAAATTAGGTAAATGTATCTTGTTAGCAAAAGCCAACATGAAACCTTTTATCTCACTAGTTACAATTTTTTTTTTTCTATAAAAAGCAGTCTCATCCTTTCCCATTTCCTTTTGATGTTTTGGAAAAATATCTCCCAGCAGGAAGCAGAGCAGACATGCATGCAAATAGCTGCAGTGGGCAAGAAGCCTCTCTACAGTGTATTTACTATATTGAGGTTTTTACTATCCTCAGTAGCTTATTTTTATTTTTTTCTGTCTCCAATTTTCACTTGAAAATCCTAAACATTAAGACTTTACTACTGGAACAGGAGAAGAACCTCTGTGTGATCTTACATAGCCCTCACTTCACATACTTGGGTAAATTATCTCAAAATTAAAATTCAAAAGGATAAAGGAAAGAAACCCAGACAGACTTAACAGACAGGAACAGGAAAGCAACCAAACTACCTAAACCATCACAAAAGCAAGATCACATCTACTTTCTACATAATTTTTTCCAAACAGCTAAGTCTGTCTGAGGTCAGAGGAAGGTGCAAGCAGCTGGGTTTGTCTTGTAGGTTATTTTTGATTCCATAGAGAAAAAGAGACATTAACAACACAGGTTAAAGATATAACAGTTAGAAGAGTGAAGCTCACACCACAGTACTGTAGAAAAAAGAAAACAGAAAAGCCAAGTTCCCCCCGCAAGAGACAACCACACTTTTCACCAGAAAAGGTGAAACACAGGCCAGTGACCAAAGCTGTCCAGCTGCAGCACTGTTGTAAGCAAGATGGAACAAGGGAGTAAAAATACAAGGCAGGCAGGCAGAAACACAAAAAGAAATAAAAAACCCTTTTGATCAGGCCATTTAGTATGATCAAAAAATGTAGTGAGATGCTCTATACAGAAGCTTTTCTTCACCCAGCATGAAATACGGATTTCTAGTTAGCAGCAATGGTACTCTCAAATTATACAGAAGGCTTCCCGAGGTCAGGAAGTTTGGTTTGGTACTCATCAAATAACCAAAATGGTACTTGTTTATTTTTTAATGCATTATCCTTTTTTCTCTGCATTCAGTCTTACAAGATCAGAGAAACTAAAATGAGCAGTGACCTTCTCCAACAGAAGAGACTAACCTGGACCTGAGATTGCTGAGGAAGCTGGACAAACTCTTCCAAAACTGATGACTCTCATTATTAGGAAGCCCCAAACTAACAGGTATTTCTAAGACTCAAGTAAAACAAACACTCAGTGAAAGGGGAAATTCTTTTTCTTCCACAGTTCTAACTGAAAACTAAGAAGTGAGCATAAATTTATTATTTGTTAGCACCAAGGCAAAACAAACAAGTGTTGAAAATTGAGAAACTGAGACCACCTGCTTCCTTCAGTTAGTGCACTGCTGTTGACAAAAACAACATGAAAATCAGACACCAGGAAAGATCTCCACACCACAGAGCTCCCAGGTGAGGACCACCAGCACCAACAGTATTTTCAGTCCAGCTGACCATCAGGTTGGGTGCCCTCACTCAGACCTGATTTCAACTGGTTAAAACTAAAAATTTCTGTTAGCAGAGGTGTCATCCTCCTCACTCACCCCCCAGCTGGATGAATACTCCTACAGAGGAATCTGGGGAGAACTGGGCCAGGAGGACCTGGCTGCAACCAGGTTTCCAGGTCCGATGGAAACACTGCCCTGCAGACTGCTTCCCATTATTTCAGTTCCAATACAGAATCATGGAATTGTTAAGGCTGAAAAAGGCCTCTAAGATCATCAAGTTCAACCATTAACCCAGCATTGCCAAGCCCACCACTAAACCATGGTCCCAAGTGCCACATCTGTTAAATCCCTCCAGGAATGGTGACTCCACCTGGGCAGCTGTGCCAGGGCTTGACAACCTTTCCCATGAAAAAATTTTCCCAATATCCAACCTG